CTGATTTTTTTTCTTCACAGATGCTGCCAGACCTGCTGAGCTTTTCCAGAAACTTCTGTTTCTGTTCCATACTGGCATTGGCTGCCTTTGAATACAATGTAAAAGAAATATGAGAGAAATGAAGGAAAGAAACCAAAACAGCAAAGAAAAAAACAAAACAAAACATGGACATAAATCAGTCTTCAATCTGTTAACTCATTCATTATTTTGCTTTCAGATGATCCTTCCATTCACACCTCTCATAGGCATATCATTTGTTTCTCACCCCATTACTCCATTTGGCCATACACCATGAAGTCTTCTTTTGTTAATCTCTCCTACCCTCCATGCTATCGTAGGCTTACCTACTCTCTCCCTGTTCACTTGCTTAAAAACCTATTACGTTTCTAACTTTTCTCAGTTCAGATGAAGGGTCACATGCCTAAAATGTCAACTCTCTTTCTCTCTCCGCAGATGTTACCAGCCCCTGATGTGTATTTACTGTTTGCATTTCACAGTTCCAGCATCTGCAGTGATATAACTTTCCATCAACAAAAGATAATATTATTGCATTCCCCGTTTCAATTTATTTTCCTTCCCTATATCCATTCGTTACTGAACAGGTGGACACCGTGAGCCCCATGGCCTCTGCTAATCAAAAGCCTTAAGCTTATGAATTTTTCCTCCAATTGCCAGCTTTTGCTCAACATCTACTCGCGGAAGGGCCACAGGAGCATTAGAGAAGATCAGCATATTACACAGAAAGAGAATCCAAAGTCTTTTGTAAACCAAGTAAAAGAACAGTGAAATGAAGGGCAGTACAGTGGCTCAGTGGTTAGCACTGCTGCCTCAAGTGCCAGGGACCCACGTTCAATTCCATCCTCAGTGTGATTGTCTGTGTGCAGTTTGTACATTCTCCCTGTGTCTGTGTGTATTTCTTCCGGGTGCTCCGGTTTCCTCCCACAGTCCAAAGATATGCAGGTTAGGTGGATTGGCCGTGCTAAATTGCCCATAGTGTCCAGGGATGTGTAGGCTAGGTGGGTTGGCCATGGGAAATGCAAGGTTACAGGGAATAGGGTGGGGGGGTGGATCTGGATGGACTAATCTTCAGAGGGACGGTGAGGACGATGGACTGAATGGCCTAATGCCACACTGTAGAGATTCGATGATTCTATCCTGTAAATATGCAATAATCCGCCATTGCACAGACAACATCATGTTTAAAAAAACTGCAGTTTGAATGAAGGTACTCGGCCTGGGTGTAACAGTCGGCGCGTGTGGACACATGTATGTATTTACGGGAACGCTGAGACCAAAAGGAGGGTGTCAGTGCTATGGAATGGGGCACTCAACATCTCTGTGAATTTAATGCCTGCATCAAACCCTCATAAGCCCATCACAGCACCAGTCACATTGAACACCAACAAGATACCACTTCTGCTTTTGCACAGCAATCTCTAGCATCAGAAGTGAAGTCACAGTGCCTGTGCTGGCCCTGGAAACAGCCTTGCACTGATCCTCATGCCACTGCTCTTTCCTCATACCAATTCAATGCCCGCTATAAAAGTCATCTGTTCACTTCCCTGCGTGAGATCTCTCATGGGCATTCCTCCCATTTCTGCCTCTGTAGCATTTCCAACACTGGAGCCAAATAATGAAACCTCTACCTTTTGGCTTTTAAGAACATAGAACGGTACAGCATGGTACAGGCCCTTCGGCCCATGATGTTGTGCCAACCTTTTATCCTACTAAGATCAATCTACCCTGCATACCCTACATTTTATTGTCCTCCACGTGCCTATCCAAGAGTCGCTTAAAAGTCTCTAAAGTATCTGACTCCACTACCGCTGCTGGCAGCGCATTCCACACGCCCACCACTCTGTGTATAAAGAATCTACCTCTGACATCTCCCCTATATCATCCTCCAATCACCTTAAAATTATGAACACAACAAAGTTGCTGGAAAAGCCCAGCAGGTCTGGCAAAGGAGCAGCGCTCCAAAAGCTTGTGATTACAAATAAACCTGTTGGACTATAACCTGGCATCATGTGACTTCTGACCTCAAACACAACAAACAAATTGCAGCATCACAATAATCAGGAGGAGGAATTCCACTAACTTTGTCATTGCTCTGCCTCTAGCTATGGGCAGCAAATTACTGCACCCTCACCTACAAGTTCAGCGCAGGTTAAGAACTGAAACTACAATTTCCTGGCATGTACTGGGCCAGAGTGTGTATTTGCTTATATTAAATTAATGAGGACAGCTGTGAATATAATTCTGGTCATTACTGTGTAATATGCATTTAGATTGCAATTAGCTGAATAATGCAAATTTAGAAAAAAGAGAAGCAAGGCAGAAATTAGATAACATACAATGTCATTGCATTGACTATTTTAACACAACAAATGCTGTCATATTCAAAGAGACTCCGATTGATATGCTCATGAATGCACACGATATAAGCTTCACAGAAACAAGGTCAGGTATCTATAAAATAATGAGAAGAGCAAGAAGGAAGAGATAAAGAAGGAACAGAAGGAGATGAATAAGAAAAAGGATACTGGGAGCTCTCTCAAGCATGAGAGAGTTTTCCTCAGTGTCTTGGCCAACACTTATTCATCAACCAACCACACAAGAGAAAATGTACATGCTCATTATTCCACTGCTTTCATGGGAGGTTCTTGCCTGTAAATTTGGTGCTGTGCTTCCTCTATTACAATGGTGACCATATTTCAAAAAGTAATTCATTGGCTGTGAAGAGAGACAAGGTGTAGAGCTGGATGAACACAGCAGGCCAAGCAGCACCAGAGGAGCAGGAAAGCTGATGTTTTGGGTCTAGACCCTTCTTCAGAAAACCCTTCATTGGCTGTGAAAGTGCTCTTAG